CCTAGATTTTAAACTTGACTAATATCTTTTTAACTGCAGAAACTTCTATCTCAATCTCTGTCTATCTACAATAAATTTCATCTAAAGTAAATGGTGCCAATTTCTCTGTTGTGACATATATTATTTTTATTTTATTATTCTTCTACCATGTATTCTAATTTTGTCTAATCATATTTGATTTTTATTAAAAAATGATAAAACTCCAATCAAATACACCAAGATTTTAAAAACATTGTTTCTCCTGAACAACAGGAATTCAAAAAATGATAAGGTTCTTTAACTTTTCTGAATATTTTGCATTTTAATAATTAAATTTAAATTTATTAAAGTAATTGATCATATTGGTATTAAAAATACAAAAATTTACTCCATGCTTGTGATAGCCTAGGCACACTATAAACTCTTATACTTATTAAGTACTCATAACAACTCTATTCAACTGAAAATATTATTATCCCTTTTCAACAGTTAAAAAACTGAGCTTGAGAGATTAATATTTCCTCTGAAATTGTGTTACAGATAAAATTAGAACATAGATATGCCTTATTTTGTCTATAAGATTTGCACTTCATATGTTCCATTGAGTAAATGAACCAATTAATTCATTCAAAGCTGAAAATCCAGTTGTCTGCTCAGTACAGAGCCTTAGGGTTGTGAAAGCTATTTTGATTTATAACCCATTTCCAATAAGTAGAATTTCCTTTCTCTTTTATACATGCTTCACAAGAATGAAGAATAAATGGGGTTGGGGAAGAATATTGAGGGCATATTTAAATACTAGCATTGGCTGAAGTAGGTGAAAAGATCATAGGAAACATCTAAGTGTGTTCTCATTTGTAATGCCTAGAAAAATCGACCCTGGTGGTTTCTGTGTAGAAGTAAATACTGTTTCATCTCATCTGGTGTCTGTGAATGATTATGGCTAAGGAATAAGAAATTATTTTAGCTAGAGGTGCCTGGGTGGCTCAGTCAGTTAAATGTCTCACTCTTCATTTTGGCTCAGGTCATAATCTCGCGTTAGTGAGATCGAGCCCCATGCTGACCCTGCAGAACCTACTTGGGATTCTCTCTCTCCCCCTCTCTCTCTGCCCCTCTCTTGCTCTCTCTTTCTCTTTCTCAAAAATAAATCATTTTAGCCCAAGTCTTACTTTCTACAATGGATCTTACACCCTATGAGATCAATTTTTCTTTAAAGGAATTTTCTTTTTTTTTTTAATTTTTCCTTGGTATTCTTTTTCTACTCTTCTACTTTCTGAGTTGCTTTTCTTTGTCTGAATGGGTTTAGTCACTGTGATCTTTTGCTCCTAATAAAGGGAAAGACTGCAAGGGGAATCATGATGTTCAGATTTTTTAAATAGAATCAAGTTTACACCATTTTGGTTTCAGTGAGTTAAGCCTGAATAGGTTTCCAGGTTGTGATTCACAGTCTGTTGAAAAAAGGACACAATATAGAAATGGTGATTAATTTCTCGTCTCAGGTCAAGGTGTTCTTGATGGCATAAGGGAACCAAAAAATATATAACTGTATTTTCATTTTCTTTATATGTTCTCACATTTTACTCCCACTTCTCATCAATAAGAGTTCATGGTCTTCTCATTTAGAAAAAAAAATCCAGGGTTCCCTGGGTTTCCCAGTCTGTCAAGCAACTGACTCGATTTTGGCTCCAGTCATTATCTCATGAGTTGGTGAGATCAAGCCCTGATTTCAGGATTGTGCTGACAGCATGGAGCCTGCCTGGGATTCTCTCTTTTTCAATCTCTGTCCCTACCTCCACTCATGCTTTCTATCTCAAAATAAAGAAACATGTAAAAAATTTTTATTTTATTTAGAGGCACCAGGTGTCTCAGTCAGTTAAGAATCTGACTTCAGCTCAGTTCATGATCTCACAGCTTGTGAGTTCAGGTCCCTTGTCAGGCTCTGTGCTGACAGAGTAGGGCCTGGAGCCTGCTTCAGATTCTGTGTCTCAGTCTCTCTCTCTGCCCCTTCCCCACTCATCCTCTGTCTCTCTCTCCTTCAAAAAAAAAAAAAAAAAAACATTTAAAAAATTTAAATCTTTTTGTTTAACCTGTTCAAAGTTACAATACATTTTTAATCTGCATTTGAAATGTCACACATTAGCTTTTAAAAAATCTACCAATGTAATAAAATATAACGGATGCATTGTGTAAGTTTTAGGTATACAATGGTTTTATTGATTTGATACTCTTACATATTAAAAACTGATTACAATTGTGGCTTTAGCTAACACCTCCATCACTCTGTATAATTACCATTTCCTTTTTGTGATATGAACATTTGAGATCTACTCTCTTAACAACCTTCAAGTACATAATATGGTATTGTTAACTATAAACACCATGTCATATATTAGATCCCCAAATCTTATTCATCTTTTATAAAATTTCGATTCTGGTAGTTAACATAGAGTGTTGTTATATTAGTTTCAGGTGCATAATGCATTGATTCAATGATTCTACGTATTACTCAGTGCTCATTAAGGTAAGTGTACTCTTAATCTCTTGACCTATTTGCCCCTCTCCCCACTTGTCTCCCCTCAGGTAATTCTCTACAGTTTATTCTCTATACTTAAGAGTCTGTGTTTTGGTTTGTTTTCTTTTGTTGTTGTTGTTGATTTGTTTTGTTTCTTAAATTCCACATATGAGTTTTGTATTAGGTATTTATTATATGACATTTATGATATTTGTCTATCTCTGACTGACATATTTTACTTAGCATTATAAGCTCTAGATCTATCCATGATTTTGCAAATAGCAAAATTTCATTATTTTTTATGGCTGAATAATATCCTATTATGTATATGTATATATAATTCATCTTTATCCATTCATCTATAGATTAGCACTTGGGCTGCTTCCATATTTTGACTATTGTAAATAAAGCTGCGATAAACATAGGGGTGCATACGTCATTTCAATTTTGTGTTTTCATATTCTTGGATAAATAGTAGTGTGATTAGTAGATCATACGGCAGATTTATTTTAAATCTTTTGAGGAACTTCCATAGTGTTTTCCACAGTGGCTGCACCAGTATGCATTCCTATGAATAATGTCACACAAAATCTTTTAAAATTCTTTTTAAGGGGCACCTGGGTGGCTCAATCTGTTAAGTGTCCAACTTTGGCTCAGGTGGTGATCTCACAGTTTGTGAGTTTGAGTCCCACGTTGGGCTTTGTGCTGACAGCTCAAAGCTTGGAGCCTGCTTCGGATTCTGTGGCCCACTTGTGCTCTGTCTGTCTCTCCCTTTCTCTCAAAAATAACTAAACATTAAAATAGTTTCTATAATTCTTTTTAAGTATTTTTTTAATTCTATAGACTTTGAGTAGATATTTTTATAATTTTCCTTTTCAGTAGAAGTTACTAAAAGGAATGGAAAAGGAAAATATTAAAGAAGGAGAGGGTAAAAAAGGAAAGGATAGGATAATGAAAGTAAAGAGAAGTAAAAGAAAGAAAGAAGAGAGATGAAAGAGAACTAAGCTTTCCTCGTCATTGAACCTAAGACCAAATATATGTGTTAAATCATTTCCTGTTCATTTTTTTAATGGTTGAAAGCATTTCTACTTTGTGAGGTGCTTATCTAAATGTTTTATATTGAATCTTAAGTTTTATATTTTGAAAAAATTCATATTTATCAGCATATAGCTTTCACTATTTTCATTTAAGATACATGATTTGGTTATACATATTATATGTTATATTTTTTCAATAGGCTACTTTATCCCCTTTTTATTTTCAAAATATGACTGCCTATTATGATTTGACATCATTTTACGCTACTTCATTTCAAATGTTTTTTTTTTTTATGTTTTATTTATTTCTGAGAGAGGGAGAGCATGAGCATTGGAGGGGCAGAGAGAGAGGGAGACACAGAATCTGAAACAGGCTCCAAGCTCTGAGCTGTCAGCACAGAGCCCGATGTGGGGCTCGAACCCACGAACATGAGATCATGACCTGAGCTGAAGTCGGATGCTTAACCGACTGAGCCACACAGGTGCCCCTATGCTACTTCATTTCAATGGTCCTGTTGTTATATCTTTTTACTTCTTAATGATTAATATTTTAAATAATTATAATTATGCATTATCTTTATTTTTTCATTTTCTTCTTCAAATGTTTGCTTTATTTTTATGTTTCTGTGTTAGAAATAAATTGAAAATCAAGGTTTTCCTACTATTTAAAATCTTCAAGCCATGCCCAGAAGGCTTAGCCAGTTATACATCTAACTCTTGATTTTGGCTCAGGTCATGATCTCCCAGTTAATGAGATCGAGCCCCAAGCTGGGCTCTGAACTGAAGGACAGAGCCTGCATTGGATTCTCTCTTGCCCTCTCTCTCTGCCCCTTTCCCACTCATTCTGTCTCTTTAAAAATAAATAAACTTTAAGAAAAGTAAAATATATGACAATACGGTTTTTCAAATTTATGTTGAAATTGGCTATACTACCTAGATCAATATTAATAAAAAATGTTTTAATTTGTTTAATGTTTATTTTACTTTTGAGAGAGAGAGACAGAGCACAAGCAAGGAAAAACAGAGAAAGAGAGAGACACTGTATCTGAAGCAGGATCCAGGCTCTGAGCTGTCAGCACAGAGCCCGACGGAGGGCTCCAACTCACTAACTGAGACCATTACCTGACCGAAGTCGGGTGTTCAACTGACTGAGACACCCAGGTGTCCTGAGTGTTTCTCAAATTTTTATGTCCATCTGGGAATTGTATTCAATGTAGATACTGATTTCCCTGTTTGGATTGGGACTAAGTTGCAGCATGTCTAATAACCTTCATAGTGATGGTGATTCTGTTAACTCAGGACTGCATTTTGAGTTCCAGACATTTAGACAAAAATATGCTGTTTTTGAAATATCAATCAAAAGTAATCTTTTACTGTGGTTTTTTTTTTCATTATATTTTTCGTTTAGTCAATTGATTTTTAAGATGGTGGTTTTGTTTTGCTTTGTTTTGATTATAAATAGAAGATTTCAAAAAAAAATAGAAGATTTCATGTATTTTCATGTCATCCTTGCACAGAGGCCATGCTAATATTCTCTGTCTCATTCCAGTTTTACTATATGAGTTGCCAAAGTGAGCACAAGATGGTGTTTTTAAATATTTAACTGATATTGGATTTGATTAGTCTTATTCATTTGGTTAGCAATTTCTCTCTTTAAATTTTTTTTTTAATTCTTAAAACTTATATCCCAAAAAAGTATGCAACAAAAAAAATACTCATTATCTAAAATTAAAATGTAACTGGTAACCTGTGTTTTATCTAATATACATACTTTAAGTTCTAATATATATATCTAATGTGATAAGTTATGGATAGCTGGAAATATACATGTCGTAATGCTGAAGAACAAAAAAAGCAATTTAAACATACAAATTCTGCTTTTTAAAATTGTGTTAATATTCTGTGTATCTTTATAAGTTTATTGTTCACCTTACCTAAAGAACAGATAATTTAATTCTCTTATAATTGTGTATCTGTATTTTGTAATTATGATTCTGTTAGCTTCATGAGTTTCACTTTTCCCCCCTTTATTTATTTATTTATCTATTTATTTAGTTTCTTAAGTAGTTTGTTGTCAAGTTGGTTTCCATATAACACCCAGTGCTCATCCCAACAAGTGCCCTCCTCCATGCCCATTACCCCCTTCCCTTCTCCCCGACCCCCATCAGCCCTCATTTTGTTCTCAGCATTCAAGAGTCTCTCATGGTTTGCCCCCTCCCTCTCTCCAACTATTTTCCCCTTATCCTCCCCCATGATCCTCTGTTAACTTCTTCCTAATCCACCTATAAGTGCAAACATATGGTATCTGTCCTTTTCTGCCTGACTTGTTTCACTCAGCATAACACCCTCTAGATCCATTCATGTTACTACACATGGCCAGATTTCATTCTTTCTCATTGCCATGTAGTATTCCATAATATAAATATACCACATCTTCTTGATCCTATCATCAGTTGATGGACACCTAGGTTTTATTCCATGTTTTGGCTACTGTTGAGAGTGCTGCTATGAACTTTGGGGTACATGTGCCTCTATGCAACAGCACTCCTGTATCCCTCGGGTAAATTCTTAGCAGTGCTACTGTTGGGTCATAGAGGAGCTCTACTGTTAATTTTTTGAAGAACCTCCACACTGTTTTCCAGAGGGGCTGCACTGGTTTACATCCCCACCAACAGTGTAGGAGGGTGCCTGTTTCTCCACATCCTCGCCAACATCTATAGTCTCCTGATTTGTTCATTTTAGCCACTCTGACCACGGTGAGGTGTTATCTCAGTGTGGTTTTGATTTGTATTTCCCTCATGATGAGGGACACTGAGCATCGTTTCATGTGTCTGTTGGTCATCTGGATGTCCTCTTTGGAGAAGTGTCTGTTCATGTCTTCTGCCCATTTCTTCACTGGATTATTTGTTTTTTGGGTGTGGAGTTTGTTGAGTTCCTTATAGATTTTGTATACTTGTCCTTTATCTGATATGTCATTTGCAATTATCTTTTCCCATTCCATCAGTTGTCTATTAGTTCTATTGATTGTTTCCTTTGCAGTGCAGAAGCTTTTTATCTTGATGAGGTCTGAATAGTTCATTTTTGCTCTTGATTCCCTTGCCTTTGGGGATGTGTCAAGTAAGAAATTTCTGCAGTTGAGTCAAGGAGGTTGTTTCCTGATTTCTCCTCTTAGGTTTTGATAGTTTCCTGTCTCACATACAAGTCCTTTATCCATTTTGAGTTTATTTTTGTTTGTGGTGTGAGAAATTGATCTAGTTTCATTCTTCTGGATGTTGCTGTCCAGTTCCCCTGGCACCTTCTGTTACAGAGGCTGTCTTTTTTCCATTGGATACCCTTTCTCACTTTGTCAAAGATTAGTTGGCCCTACATTTGTGGGTCCAATTCTGAGTTCTCTATTCTATTCCATAGACCTATGTGTCTGTTTTTGTGCCAATACCATACTGTCTTGATGATGACAGCTTTGTAGTAAAGGCTGAAGTCTGGGATGCTGATGCTTCTCGTTTTGGTTTTCTTCCTCAATATTACATTGGCTATTCGGGATCTTTTGTGGTTCCATACACTTTTAAGCTTTTACTGCATCTGTCGACAGGATCATATGATTTTTATCTTTTCTTTTATTAATGTGATGTAATACATTGATTAACTTGCAAATATTGAACCAGCCCTGTAACCCAAGAATGAATCCCACTTGATTGTGGTGAATAATTGTTTTTATGCGATGTTGAATTTGACTTGCAAGTATCTTATTGAGAATTTTTGCATCTGTATTCATCAAGAATATTGGCTTGTAGTTCTCGATTTTTGCTAGGTCCTTGTTTGGATTGGGAATCAAAGTGATGCCGGCTTCATAGAATGAGTCCAGAAGTTTACCTTCGATTTCTATTTTTTTGGAATAGTGTGAGAAGAATGGACATTAATTCTGTTTTAAATGTCTGGTAGAATGCCTCAGGGAAGCCATCTGGCCCAGGGTTCTTAGTTGTTGGGATATTGTTGATAACTGATTCAATTTCTTCACTAGTTATAGGTCTCTTCAGATTTCCTAACTCTTCTTGTGTGAAACTTGGTAGTGAGTGAGTGTTTAGGAATTGTCCATTTTTTCTAAGTTGTCCAATTTGTTGGCATATAATGTTTCATAGTGTTCCATGATAATTGCTTGTATTTCTGAGGGATTGGTTGTAATAAATCCATTTTCATTCATGATTTTGTCTATTTGAGTGTTCTCTCTTTTCTTTTTGAGAAGCCTGGCTAGAGGTTGGTCAATTTTGTTTATTTTCCAAAAAAACAACTCTTATTTTCATTGATCTGTTCCACTGGCTTTTTGGATTCTATATTGTTTCAATGTCTGTTTCCTTCCCCAGATTGTGGAAGTTCTCAGCTATAATTTGTTGAAGGACTCCTTCAGCACCTTTTTCTCTTCCTTTCTCTCCTGTAATTCCCATGATACAGATATTGTTCTGTTTGATTGTATCGCTCAGCTCTCGAACTCTCCTTTTGTGTTCTTGGATCAATTTATCTCTCTTTTACTTGGCTTCCTCTTTTTTCATAATTGTGTCTTCTAATTCATCTATTTTCCTCTCTGCCTCATCAGTCCTTGTGTTGGACACCTCCATTTTATTATGCATCTTATTTATAGCATTTTTTTCAAGTCATCACAACTATTTTTAAGCTCCATAGTCTTTGTAGCAATAGTTTCTCTGATGTCTTCCATGCCTTTTTCAAGCCCAGGAAATAATTTTATGACTATTGTTCCAAAATCCTTGTTCAGTTATGTTACTTATATCTGTTTTGAGCAGTTCTCTAGCTGTCATTTCTTCCTGGAATTTCTTTAGAGGACATTTCTTCCATTTTGTCATTTTGGTTAGCTTTCTGTCTCTTGTTAGTTTTAAAAGCTTGTTATCCACTCTGCACCTGTGAGTACTACTGTATTAAAGAAGGCTCTTTGATTGTCCAGAGTCTGTCTGTTCAGGAAGTCTTCTTTGATTGGTGTCACTTGGTCTCTTTTGTTGAGACCTTGGTTATTTTATTTCCCTACTTGTAAGTGGTATTTGGGACTCTTCACCATGTGTACTTTGGCTTGTTTCATGATTAGCCGGTATAAGGTTGTTTTCTCAGCAGACTCTGTCTCCTTTTCCTCCCAAACTCCTGGTTTCTGTAAGGGCTCCTACGGCTTCAGGACTCCTCCATTTGAGAGATGGAGGTGAATGAAATGTAGGGAGCTCCTTACTTCTCTGCCATCTTGCCAAATACCAGTTTGAATATCTTTAGTCAGCAAGCTAGAGGACCAGAAAGGCAATGATGTAGTTCCAGTCTGAGTATGAAGACTTAAGAACCAGAACTACTGTAGTTCTAGTCCAAAAGTTACAGACTTAAGACCCAGGAAGAACCAGTGTTTCAGTTTGAGTCTGAGGGCAAGAAGTTATGTCTACCCTACAAACCAGAAGAGATTTCTAACCAGAATCCAACTATTCTGACAAGCTGTTCTTGGACTTCCAGTCTTCAGATCTTGGCTATGCCCACGGTACTGGGAGATCGGACCCAAAAGAGTGAGTTACAATGCTTGGTTAGAGAGGGGACTGGGGAACCACATTTTTCTCCCCACACATCACGTTTTGTTTTTATCTCCCCCCCCACTTTTGCCTTGATATAGTGTGTTATTTATATTTTAATGACCTTAATCAGAAGTTTTATTTCATTTACTATTAAGCTGATAGTATTCATTTTCCTTTTGTCTGTGTATGACATTTACTTGTCTAATGATCGAAGATACAGCATTCTGAGATTTTTGAAACTGCATTGGCTTATATACAGTATATCATTATTTTAAGTGTGCATAGGCTTTTTCACTTTTAATGGTCGAATTTGGATAATTTATCTCCATAGCTATATTGGCTAAAGTTTTTGTCATCTTATTTTACTTTTTCTTAACATTACTGTTTTGCTCTGACTTTATTAGTGTATTATTAGCATAAATAACATATTTGATTTCTTTTTATCTTTTAAATCAATTGGCAAGGTACAAGTATATTTAAAACTTATAAGGAACTGTAGTATTTTCTAAGTTTTCTAATTCTCAGATAATAAAAAATAACTTTAGATTTTTACCTTATTCAAAACAGGCAAGTAGTTGTATCCTTTTTTAGGGTTTGAGGGGCTTCAATGTGTCCCTCCTTTACCTACATTTGCCCATCTCTATCAGTTTAACTTCAAATTCATGAACTCTTTTTCTGTGATCTTTTTTCTCTTTAAATTATGTGTCTTCTATCATACAATAATTAGTTAGATATGTAAAAAATAATCTACACCTGTTAATATTTATCATTTGTAACAATATTAGAAAAGATTCCATCTCAAAACTAAACAGCAATATACACTTTAAAATAATTCATCCAAATCATAGAAAACACTATCCAGAAATTGTTTAATGAAAACATCTACCTTGTATATACTCAAATAATTTTTTAAAATATTTTATTTATTTTTGAGAGAGAGATAGAGACAGCATGAGCAGGGGAGGGTCAGGGAGAGAGGGAGACACAGAATCTGTAACAGGCTCCAGTCTCTGAGCTAGCTGTCAGCGCA